TAACAGCCAAACTTCATGCAGTTCTGGAGGTCGTTGATGAATGGGCACGTCAGGTTCGTGTAGTATGGCGCCTCGTCGTCCAGCACCCATTGGCCCCGCATAAGGTCGCAGGCGGCCACAATGGCGGTGGCCGGAGATGGCGAAGATGAGGAGTTGACCGGAGACGACGACGCCGAAGACGATGTGTCTAGAACCATCGAAGACGAGGAGTTAGAGGCTAGAGACGGTGTCGACGTCCACGGTGCAGAGGATGAAGTTGAAGTCATAGAGCGAGACGACGGTGAGGGCCAGCAGGACAAGCAGTGGCGTGGCAACGACGACGGAGATCTTCCGTGATGACGGTTGATTGCTCTTCTGGGGCTTCATGGCCGAGCGGCGGCGTACGCGAACGTGAACGCGATGGAGGAGATACGAATCCGGACGCTACCTACTTGCTTGCTTTGGTTAGGAGAGAGGGCCGCATGGAATGGAAGAAGAAAAGGTGCACGCTCCGTAGGGTGTGTCGTGTGCTGGTAGCTTGCTCATTGTCGTTGTCGTGGCGGCGGCCGCGTGGGGTTCAAAGTGCGCGTCGCGCGAGCAAAGCCATTTCTCTCTTGGCGACGGAACCTGGTACGCTGCAGTGGTCCCTAGTCTTCTACAACTAAAAAGACTAAAAGTAAGACTATTTTTTGGTATGACTTTTTTTTGGGGTCGCTCCTCCCTTTCGGCCATACGATACCCTGCGCGATAGAAAAAGAAACTGTCATCCCTGCGATCCCCGCTTGCTTTGAAGGAAACAAATCGATCACCTGAGGCCACATGCATGGAACGAAACAATAATCATGCATGGAAGGAAACAATTGGCAAAGATCAAGCAAGACTCCTCCATTCTAGCCATGCGATACCCCGCGCGATAGAAAAAGAAACTGTCATCCCTGCGATCCTCGCCTGCTTTGAAGGAAATAAATCGATCACCTGAGGCCACATGCATGGAAGGAAACAATAATCATACATGAAAGGAAACAATTGGCAAAGATCAAGCAAGACGACTCAATGAGGTTGGCCCTTAATTTTAGTGTTTCCAGCATGCAGATCTGAAATTAAAAAGTGGCTGCTCCTTGAGAACATCAGTGGTGCCAAATAAAAGATGTGCAGGTTATACATGGTGAGACTGGTGAACCTTCTGCAATTTACTAAACGAATATTCCCACCATTCGTATATAAGTCCATTCCTCTGCGTTTCTTCGTGCTCCAATTAGCATATAATATAAAAATATTGTTGTGTTCATGAGTTCATCACGACTTTCAGTTGACCACTCCTATTAGCATATACTTCCTCTGTCCCAAAATATAAGTCATTATGGGATGTGTGCAGGTCAAATTTTCTCAACTTTAACTAGGTTTGTAAAAAATACGTGCAACATTTATATCTCTAAATAAGTTTATTATAAAAATACATTCAATGGTCTATGTAATGATACTAATTATGTATTATAAATATTAATATTGTTTTATATATAATTGGTCGAAGTTAAAAAAAGATGACTTCTCGGGAAGCGAGAATGAATTCTATTTTGGGACACGACAGTATATAAAAGCGGTGTTGAAAATATTTTAACAATCAAGTTCGTCTCTGTCTGATTGGTAAGCTTAGACATCATAATGGCATCAAAAATTTCGACTCTCATGGATACCTTCATGGATCAGTGCAAAGCATCTCAATCCTACAACATACACAAATGGCAACCTTAAAATTATGATATTTTCAAAGGGTAGACAATAAAGACCACATTAGACGTTCTGCCATTAGAGTATATACGTGCAGACACATAGGCATGGTGGTACATGTGAGCAGCCAACATGAGTCGAGAGTTAGGGGGTGTTTGGATCCCAGAACTAAACTTTAGTCCCTGTCATATTGAATTTTTAGATATCAATTAGGAGAACTAAACATGAGTTAATTATGAAACTAATTACATAAGTTGTGGCTAATTCACTCGCCAGTGCCGTGTACAGGATGGTATGGAGATGTGGTGGAACTTATTCATATATTTGTTGGCGCATGAAAGAAATGGATATCGGAAATCTCTTTCTGCCGGTATAAAAAATGATCTTAGCCGCATCACGGAAAGATCTACACAGTAGAGTTTGTGAGCCTACGACGCCATGCTATCTGTGACTATGTAAATTTCACGAAATTAGCTTTTTGGATTAAATGTCACTTTAACGTCGGTCATATACTTTTACAGTATTGTTATCTTATCATGCGATTCGTGTGTTTTTAGTATAAAAGTTTAGCTGTCCCATAGCAACGAACATATTTACATATATACTCGAACATATGTGTACATGATTATATGGAGATACAGTGAAATTTATTCATGGATTTATTGGCGCATGAAAGAAATGGATATCGTAGAATTCTTTCTGCCGATATAAAATATTATCTTAGCTGTATCACGAAAAAGTCTATACAGTAGAGTTTGTGAGCCTGCGACGTCGCGTTCTCCGTGACTGTGTTAATTTCATGAACTTTATTTTTTGAATTAAATATCACTTTGACGTTGGTATTTAATTTAACAGTACTGTTATTTTATCGTGCGATTCGTGTGTTTTTAGTATAAAAGATTTAGTTGTCCCGTAGTAACGCACGGACACGCTAGACTAACGACTAAACATTCTCCTCCGTACGCGACTATAAGCGTTGTATAATATAACCGTACGTGATTATTTCTCATCGTCACCCGGTGCCTTCTTTCTGAATTCTGATGACGATAGTATACTGAAGCACGTCGCGAGCAGGTCAAATTCAGGTTGCTGCACATTCCAGGATGCGCGAATCCATGTGGCTCCGCTCCGTAGACAATGTCCTGGAAGCCCAGTTTGCGTCTTCCGAACCCCGAGTAGGATCACCGCGAAATCAAGCAGCCCGTACCGCGAAGACTACTAGGAATTGGCACGACGGTCAGAGAGAACTACAGATTAGCAATTTCAAGGCAGATTCCAAACAGGGTTTAATCTGAAAAAGGAAAATTTTGGAAGGGAAGTGCAAACTGCGTCCTGTGCAATATTCCTGAGCGAACTGAACATATTTTGTTCCAGTGTCACTTGTTAAGAGGTTTACGTATGGACCTGCTTGTATTAAGCAGAAATGGCCCGTCATACAGAAGCCGAATCTCGTATTAATTTCTTGCATTCTTACTGATGGCACCTTTTCACTCTTTATTGACACTGGACCAAGGGGGAAATGGCTACGATTCTCTCTGGTGTCTGCATGGGTAACAAATACAGGTAATCATTTCTTCACATAGGGGAAAGCTTCTACTTTGGGCTCTGTATTTTTTGTCATTAGTACCTCGGTGATATTACCGAATTGAGAAAGATCGTTCCCAAACATCCTTCCGATGATGTGCTAGCTAGTGCTACACCGAAGTTTGTTCGTCTTGTGGGAACGGAAGATTTTGCTGAAAACTTCTGATCAGTACCGCACACATGATGTACTCCCTCCGCTCGGTAAAACAAGTCGTTAGTCCAAGCTAGCTTGTTTCTCCGGTCAGAAACACTTGTTTTAGCAACCGGAGGGACTCGAGTTGCTAATAGATGAGAAGATGACGGGACTACGTCACGAGCGCAATCGACATCAGTTGATGTACTTTTTTTTTTTGACCTACTACTACGATTGTAAACCGCACTCTCGTTTGTATCGAACATTCATACAATAGATTTGCTCTATAAAAGCCGATACTACTATACTTTTTTTTTATCCGGATGCTAAAGGTGCACACTCGATCACAGACCACAGGCACGAATTCTTTTGAACCACGAGAGTGCCTGCACGCCTTGACTTTTCAAGCGCTTCGCTGAACGAGTAAAAACAGCCGCACGTGATCGAGAAAGAGGAAGGTGCGTTGATCTCCACCAATTTAGTGCAATAATTAATTGGGCTCTTGATTCACGCTCTAATTGAGACGTTCAATTGTTTCCATGGTTGGTGGCTCCCGTCGCAGCACTATAAAAAGGGAGGTAGGGGCCGGGGCACAAGGCACGAGATTTACCTGCGCCGCCATAACCCCACCTACATCCTAACCCTAAGCCGATCTAGAGAGGGGGCGCTGCCAGCGATAAGAAGCACCGCCACCGGCCACCGCCGCCTCTGCATCGTCGACTCTGCACCGCCTCTCTACGACCTCGCCTCCACCGCATCACCGACACTGACGCGATGGCCAGCTCGTCTTCCTCGAAGGCGGACGATGGTTTGCTACCCGCATTCTCTCTCTCTCTGTTTCCTCACACTAGATCATGTTTTAGGGTTTACTCCATATCCTAAATGTCAGTTTAACCCGCTAGATCTATGGCTAGTGGATCCTATTAATCTATCAATCTCAACTTCCAAGTGCTTTGCAGCTAGTACTAGCCAGCTACTGTGAATCCACATCTCTAGTGTCGAAGCCTCCCCAAGTACCAATCCGCTCTTCCGGTCTCTAGGCCGTGTGCGCATCACGGAGAGCGACGCCCTCTGAAGCCCTCCGAGATGGCCACGGGGTGCAAGACTGGACGCGGTCACGCGCTGGGACCGCGGGCAACTCCAGGTAGACGAAGATGGGGCCACAGGCGATGGCGACTGTGGCGGCGGAAAGGCGGAAACCCAGGCCTCCAACCGAACAAGGAACGGCATGCTTCACAGCCCAGATTATGGATGGGGTCATGCCAAGATGGACTTCTTGGCTAAGCCCAAGTCAACAACATGATCAGGCTCAATATGAAGAATTCCGAGTTCAGATGGATCATTTCTTCCTTAGCTAGTTAGCTCTCATAGTTTGATTGGTTTCACACGATGCCGAACCAATAATACTACATACACAACCTATAAACTGTACCGAACAGAGGGGAAAATAAGAACAGATTGTCACGAACAGGTACTACCCTGAAACCTAACCAAACAAGCACAAGTAGCCCCTGATCACCCCGGGCCGCCGGAGCAACATCATTCGCCATGAACGAACGGAAGCGACGACGACGCATCAGTAGTAGTACCGGCGGTTGTGGTTGTTGCGGATGGCGCAGCAGCCGAGCGAGTAGACGAGCATGACGAGCACGAGGACGGCGACGTTGAGCGCGGCCACGGCCCTCCAGTGGAGCCTTGCGGTGGCCACCACGCCGGCCTTGCACGCGTCGCACTGGAAGCACAGCACCCGCTGGTCGTTGCTCCACGCGCGGCAGTCGATGGCGTCCGCCGTCGTGGCCGCGCCCGACGCGGGGGTTGCCCAGAACGTCGCGTTGACGGACTGGAACCCGCAGTACGCCGGCGGCTTGCAGCACCCAGACTGCACCGCGCCATTGGCGTTACAGAAGAGAATATTACTATACACACCACGGTCGTGTGCTGATTGCCAGCATGATCGTTGTTTGCTTTCTGGACTGATAAGTCCGGCTAGTGCTGGTTTGTTATGAGAGAAAATACTAAACCAACAAAGCCAAACAGGTTGCATGTCGAGTGGACCAACCGTGCCGTGCATGGTGGTGCCACGTATTGCCATGCAACGCAACTGGCGGATCCGTGCATGCGTACCTGAACGAGCGGCAGGTACCGCTGGTACAGCTCGCCGGCGTTGATCCCGGCGTGGACCCAGCCGCCGCCGCACACGCCCGCGTCCGCGATGCAGCTCTGGATCCGGTGCCACGTCTCGTAGTCCCCGACCCTGTCCTGCAGCCAGCCGGAGTAGTCCCCGATCCGGTACTCCCCATACCCGGCCCCGGACACGGCTGCGGCGGCGCCCCTGTTGGTGACGGCGAACGCGAAGGCGGTGGCCACGAACATGCCGATGAGGATCACGAAGATGGCAACGACGTACGCCCAGAGGAGCGGCGTGGCGCGGCAGCACGCGCCGGCCAGCGCCATGACCGACAGCAGGAGGAACGCGGCGCCCAGCGCCATGGCGGGCACCCGCACCAAGCGCTGGCACTCGGTGGCTGGTTGCGCCAGGACGTAGGCCCCCGCGCCGATGAGCGCCACGGAGGCGAGGAGGGAGATAAAGTTCAGGGCGCCCAGGACGCCGTTGGAGAGGCTCGCCATGGCTGGAGTGCTGGACCGGTGGACCCTACGTGCCCACGTCCTTCCTTGTCCCAATATGTGTATGTGATCTGTTGTCCTACAGAACAAATGGCTTACGTATGTGTTTGCCTCGCTCTAGCTGCGGGGTTGATTTTGCCAAGCCTAGTAGCCCTTGTTCGCTTCATCCGACTGCTGCTTCGGATCCACTGCCTGCTCCCTGCTGTTTGGGGATCAAGAATGCAAACAAAAGAGCGGGAAATGTGGCCAAGGCATTGGTTTTCTACTTTTCTTGGGTTTGCGCCGTGCTCCGGTAACCCAGTTTACGCCCTGGCAGAACTGAGATTTATCCCAGAATTTGCAGTTGTTTTGTACTAGACGATGGCACTTCAGGACGACTCGGGAGGCTGGCCACAAAATGCGGCAGAGGGCTTGGCCACGAGGACCGAAGCGAGCACGCCACCACCTAGGCCTCTCGCCCCACGCCACGCCGCGCCCGTCGTCGGCTCCGGCAAACAGGAAACAGTACGGGGCAGCAATGCACCAAGATCGAACGATCCAAGGAGTGCACCAGATCATAGATTTGACTAAAATAACATATATTAGCACCCGCAAATGCAAGACAGCGTACAGTTGACATTGTTTCAGCTAACAACCATACATGCTAGAGAATATCCAGCAAATCAAAATTGTTTGTCGAGCAACGAGTGACCCACTGATCAACCACCACCAACCCTTTGGCCATCTTTAAGATTTGAGCAAGATTAGTAAGGCTTGAATTTCCTCTGGGCCCTAAGCTCCTGTATCCTTTTCTTATCCTGCTCGAACTTGCTCTGCAACATTGCCAGTTCTGCGCAAGAAACACAAAGCTGTAAGTTCCCAGGGCCTATCGGGTTATAGAAAAGACATCATGCAGCACAGATGGACCGGGAGAAAAAAATAAACTCTTTCCGTGAGTGAATTCATGCTTACTAAACCTGTAAACCATGAGTCAAAAATAACTTGAACTCAATAAGTTGTTCGACAAGAAAAACTTGAACTAAAAAATCAGAAAACAATAATAACAGGTTTCAAATTTCTGAACTAACTAGAGCCTCAACGTATCACACACACAGACAAGAGTAAGAGTAAAAACTTCTCACATATGGTTCATTTGACAAGTCCAATCTAGATGACAAAATGGCTGTGGACTTGTGATTCCAAACACTGAAGATGCAAAACAGTAAACTCTAATAGAACCAAATACTTCCCCAAAACCAGAACAGACAATATCAAGCTGCAGGTTTCCCATACTCAGAATGGCAAACAATGGAACAGATTACATTTTATCATGGCTGATGAACTGCATGACATTACAACTTACAAGTCCAAGCAGTTCCTGCTGTGCAATATACGGTCTGAGTTCTATCATGTGTAGTAATCAGGGAGTGGAATAACAACAAATAAGAAGTCTTGATAAGCAATGATGACATACCACTGAGGTGGGCTTCTCGTTTCTGAAATCTGTAGAAGTTCATATCAACTTCCTTGGGTTTCTTTTTAGCCATTTTCTCTTGCATTGCAGTAAGAGATACAGAGCCAACAGCTGTTCCAGTTTCAGCATCAGTGGTCTTTTTCCTCCCCTTGTGATGCACCACAACTGTCCATCCATCTTCTGCTGCGCGGGCCTCTCTTTCTTTCCTCTCCTGAAAATAATCAAGTAGGTATCAGGACCAAACAACTTGCCTGTTTTGCTTCTTCAGACGATATATATGGCACGGAGGAAACACTCACCTTATCTTGTTGTTCCTCATGAGCAACAATAAACTCATCTATTCTTTCCTGCAAGGCTTTCAAGCCAGGTCTCTTCTGTTTGTACTCCAAGATCCATTCTGTCAAGAGTCAAGACATCACATATAAGCTATTAAGACTTTGGTGCATGAAGCTGCTAATTCTAATAGAAAAGGAGAAGAAAAATGTGAAATTAATTGGAGCACAACATCAATCACTAAGAAGTCTGCAAGTTTGCAACACATATTGCCAACTGTAGAACTTATTGCATCGCAGTACTCAGCAAGTTAGACTAACAGACATTTGGCTTTGTATTGTATGTCAGCTTTCTTTTGAAAGCTGGCACCTAAAATGAATTCCATCTGTATTGGTCCTAGGAGGAATTTATATTATATAATACGCAATATAGTCTTTTACTCCCCGCATTGTTCAAAGAAATTGTTGCCTTGGGAGTTAGACTATGAGTAGAGTTGTCTCTAAAACTAACTCTAGCATATACAAATTTACCGGTACCCTAAACATATCATTAGAGAAATAGTCGTCAAACGGTCAAAGTTGCTTGTGGAGACTATTGATGTCCAGTGACTGGAGTGAATATCTAGGCAAGTTTCAGAAAGACAACACTAAGAGTTCTTTGGATATAGTACATTCACTATTTAATTGTGAACACTGATTTCCATCAAATAACTTCACAAACAATTGTCAGCGTAGACTACAAAAATAGTATCTAAAAAATAGTATCTCAGATATCAGAACTCAAAAGCAGAACATTACTTTTCATTCCTCTGGAACAGTCTTCGTCAACTGATGGAATCTCATCAGAGTTTGCAGTACTAACTTCAACATGTCTCTCCAAGTTGTTATTATCTTTACGTGATGCATGCTTATCTTTCTTCTTCGCTTTCCCAGATTTTTTAACTTCCACTGCAATCAATGAACAGACATGCCCCAGAAAGCATGAATATTTATGCAAAAATTGAACTGATACTTCAGAACAACTTTGACTCAGAGACGCCCCTGCAAGTCTTACTTTTCTTTCCCCTCTTTGATTTCTGAGGCTCTTCATTATCCACATCTTCACTCAGTGCTGCAAGTTGGTTGACATCAGCTGCATAAATATTAGCTATAAGGTAAATTATAAATGGAAGAACTACTATATAATGACTAATGAGAACACTAGGACATAATAGGATATCAACTGGTTCTTGCACGAACTCACTACTTAAAGTCTTAATAAACCATTTAAGTGTGAGAAAAGATCAAGGCAACCAATTTGTCAAGACAATCGCTCAGCACCAACAAGCAATCTTACCACTTTGAGTTTCTTCACTTTGATTTTCATGCAGGATTTCTTCTGCGTCAGTAATCCCAGTAGAGCTCTTCCCTCCCTTTACCTTCCTTTTCTTTTTCTTCAGCTTATCATCAGTAACAACTGAACTTTCATACACATCGTCAGGACTGCTACTTTCCATTAGTTTCTTTTTGCTCTTCTTCTTCTTCAGCTTAGGCATTGCAGCATCTTTACTGTCTGACAGTAATTCCACCACACCATCTGCCATATCATGATTACTCTTAACATTGGCATGCTTATTTTTCTTCTTCTGCTTCACCAATGGAATTTTCTTTCTCCTTGCCAATTCTTTATCTGGCATTCAAAGATGAAGATGGAAAACATTGCCTTAGACAATTTTAGGCTTGTTCCACATTTTCATTACCCAAAAAAAGAGGGAAAAAACTTGATAGTTGTACCTAGGGCACAGCGAACAACTTAAGAACTGTATGATACAATGAAACAAATAAAAGTTCAGGGTACAAGATAAAACTACTGATTCTGATTTCTGAAACACAAGTATATAAAAGAAATGGGAGGAAAAGGACAAGAAATCCACACTATTACCTTCTTTAACGCCATGCAAGGCAGCGGGTTCGCTATCGACGGCACATTCCAATGCTCTGTCCTTCTTCCTTTTAAGCTGCTTCCTCTTCACCCCAAGCGCCAATTTCTTGCCCTCCTCCGCTTCCCGCGAACCCTTCTTGTCTAGAAAGCGCAAACTCTCAATTTCCCTCCCTAGTTCGAACTAATACAATCATGAAGCAAAGGAATTTAGAGGGGGCGAAGGTGCCGAACCTTTGGATTTCCCCATAGCAACAGATTAGTAACCAAGCCTACGGAGGAAAGCGGCAAAACGTGTAGCTCCGCAGAGATCTCCGTCCGTGACTTGCCCCAGGCTGTGGCGGCGCCGAAGAGGGAGGTGTCGGCTGTCGCCTGTCGGCGTCGGGGAACTCCGATGAGTTTAGGTTTTGGGCCTCGGCAGTTGGTATTGGGCCTTTCAGACAAATGAACCCAAACAAAGGTGGCTCCCACGTTCCAGTGACTTGCAAAGGTGTCGCGTGGACCCGACCTGCCAGTTTATAGTGATTAGGCTTTGCGCCTTCTAAAACCCTAGCTCCAGAACGAACTAAAACCCGCTACCGCGAAGCCACTAGTCGAAGGCGGCGGCGGCGGCGGCGATGGGGAGCGACACGGAGACGGAGAAGAAGAAGACCCCGGTGGCGCTGATGCCCATCGCGAAGCCCCTCGCTGGAAAGAAGCTCTGCAAGCGGACCCTCAAGCTCGTGCGACGAGGTTCGTGAGACTTTCTTCCTCGTCCTCGCCCTCGCCCTCGCCCTCGCCCTCGCCCTCGCCTTCGCCCAATTAGATTCCGTATTTGTTCCATTCGGTTGTGAGTTTCATCTCATCCTGTTGTGATTCGGTTCTTGGCGAATTTGCAGCCTCCGAGGCCAAGTGCCTCAAGCGCGGAGTCAAAGAGGTAGTCAAGAGCATTCGCCGCGGGAACAAAGGGTAAGTCAAATCTATTTCTTTTTTTTCTTCCTGTTCAGTGCTTGATAAACTTGCAATTGCCTAATTGGCTAGTCGTGGCAATCAGCATAGGGCAAATGGTTCTCGCTTAGAGCTTATATACATCTTTCACTTACAAAATGGTATATGTACAGTAGTGGTATTTTACTCCTATATAAAAAGTTAAAACAATACCTGTCATTTTGATTTGATTTACTTGGAAATTCACATGAATAACAAATGGTAACTGAATGTACTTATTGTGATGAAATTGTCCATTTTCTGGATGCAAAATGAACTGTTATCTATTGTGTGGAGAATTTGCTTCTCTTGATGTTTAGATTTCCCGAAGCATTTCTTGCCTAATTGTTAGGATAATCGGAATCTGTTTTTTTTTTGGCAGGTTGTGTGTGATTGCTGGAAATGTTTCTCCTATTGATGTGATTACACATGTTCCAATACTATGTGAGGAAGCTAATGTTCCTTACATATATGTTCCATCAAAAGAGGTGGTTTCACATTTCCTCCATTTTACTTAGGCTCGATTATTCTGCAGTGGTGTGAGTATAAAATTCTGTCACTGCCGTGTAAGATTTTATGAGGTGACAGTTACTACTGCATGGTACATATCCATATAAACAAAGAATACTTGAAGTTGCTTATCAGATGACCAAAATCCATAATTTTTTTATAAATTGAAAATTTCTGTGTCATCTTCCTGGTAGCAGTTGCCTGTTAGTGATGAACTGTTTTTGGTCTGATCACATAACAACTAAGTACCACCACCTATTTGTCTTGTCATTTGATAACTATTCTAAATAAATTGTTAAAAGACATCCATGAACATGTAAATACTAATGGCATGTTTGGTTCCCAGCCACAAAAATTTTCTTAAGGTTAAGTGCTCAAAATATTTGCCACACCTTAGTAAGCCTAAGAGAATCTTGCCACACTTTTTTTGATTAATTGACGTGTGGGGCCTAATTTAAATATTTAATGGAAGGGAATCTTACCACACTTTGTGGTGGTAACAAACCAGCAGCCAAAGTTGGTCAAACTTGCCTAATCTTAACCGTGGCAAATGTTGGCAAGTTGTGGCTAGCAACCAAACACCCCCTAAATACCGTACCTGAAAGGTTATCCATATATCACAAAGACCATTTGTCCTTCTCAACAGCAAAGTTATCATGATCCTCAAGCATACTTGAAGATTAACAGTAGAACAATGGTAACCTGGGGAAATAATACATGTTAAGTTTGTTCTTTAAATTGTATTGCAGTTAGTTATTTACTCCCTCCATTCCAAATTATAAGTCGCTTTGACTTTTTTGGTACATTCATTTTGCTATGCATCTAGATATAATATATGTTTAGATACGTAGCAAATTCTATGTCTCAAAAAAGTCAAAGCGACTTATAGTTTGGAACGGAGGGAGTACATCGGATGCTTATGATAGAAGACAAGCCCAATATACTGATGTGTCATTTGCCTTCTGCACAGGGTCTTGCGACCGCAGGAACCACTAAGAGGCCGACTTGTTGCGTCTTGGTTCTGACCAAACCAACCAAGGGGGAGCTCAGTGAAGAGGTGAAGGATAAACTGAAGTCAGACTATGACCAAGTTGTAACCGAAGTTGCTGAGGCTACATCTGCAGTGTTCTGAGGGCCATTCCAGGACCATATTATCTGAGAATCCGGCAACTCCCTGTGCACAACTTTCTTGGTGTAGTATGTAACTTGATCCTGTCAGCCTGCCCTGCTTGCGTGAACCGCACCAGTATGTTTTGCATGGTGGCTGGAGCAATATGATTATATGAGTTTACCTATTATGGACTATCCTTGTTGGCGTATTATCCTATTAATGATAATGATTAGATTTTGCGTGGTGGTTTGGCACGGTGAGCACACTGTTTCCTTGGGTTGTCAAATCTTGGTAGCGCGTTCCAGGTCTTGTGTTGATGACTTATCACAAGATGTGCCTGTAAATCTTGCGGTATCTTAGCGCCTTATATATCAGGGCTTCTGCTCGTTTGGGGTAAAACCCGTTTATAGACCAGCGTGCGGTGCGGCAAAATGCTTTTCCTTCTGTTCGTTTGATGTTTGATGGAAGCGTGCGGCAAAGAGCTCTTCGTTCTGTTTGTTTGATGGACAGTTTTCTTGACCTCTGGTGTCTGGAGCCACGCAAAGATTGTCGGATCGATAAAAGCGCAATGGTACTCGTATTACAGCACAATACAGCTGTGCTACCGTCCCCAAAGAATTCAGAGCTGTTTGCGGGTACGCAGCTGTGCTACAGTCCCTTTCAGAATTTAGAGCTGTTTGCGGGTACGCAGGGAAACAGCTCCGGTTTTTGCACTGGTAGTGGTACTCTGATCTTTGTTATGCTTCATCTGGATCTTAGCTTCACGGCGCTTCTGTTTGAAAGCTTGTGGCAAACACACGAGAGACACGACAAAGTTGGGTCCGGGATTTCTGTGCTTGTTACTGTTGGGATATGTCAAGCACCAGTCTCTCTAGGAGACTGTGGGACTGACTACTGAGCCAGGGAGGCTCACGGAGCCGAGTTGGAGTGCTTGCTTTGAGAGATTTGCGCTGCTCTCGAGCTGCCGCCGGGGCGCCAACCACCCTTTCATTCCAATCTCGGCCAGGCAAAGGAGTGGGTTGGGTTAAGTAGGATTCTAATGCGTGGCCAAACTTGTGGAATGTAGAGATTCCCTTGGGATGGTCATGCTCATGCCCAGATGCGCTAAACAATGACAAGCAAAAGATCCAACGGCAAAATGGCCTCTATCTCGCAACACTTTATGTGATTCACTTACCACTTCGATAGTAAATAGTACTACCAGATGGAGTATCTATGTTGTTATTAAAGCATACAACCATCAACTGATCCAAATTTGGTCTAAAAAAAGGTTTATTTCAAAAGAAAATTAAGAATCGTGGCACGGTTTTACTTGCGTAGAAAGCCCTTCCTGTGCAGCTTTTTTACCCTGCTGGTCCAAGATACTCGAGGGCGGGCGATGGCGAATGGCGTAAAGAGCCTTTTTGTTGATGCCCTGACTGGCCACCATGCGTTCATGCTTGAGGGCTGAGATCGCCTGGTCAAATGGCCAATCCCAGCATACAAGGTGCATGATACTAGCTTGCAAGGGGCAGTGCAATGGCTGTGAGCAGTGGATGTGGATGCACAGATCTTCTACAGCCGTACGTATCCTGGGCTCCTCCTGGCATGCATGCCACTGTATGGCTCTGTGCATACGCGTGAAATGGATTCTGTTGTCCTTGGGTCAGTACTCTTGTTGACCTCGAATACGCAGCTGTTGCTGCAGCCGCAGCAGCCTAAACTAGAACAGCTGATCAGGCCACATCTTCTTTGCAACTACTAAGTGCCATCATTCAGATGATGACCATACATAAGTTGCACGGTTGCAAAAGGATTATCCAAAGCTCGTCCTTAGTAGAAAACCAACCAGGTCAATGATGCAGGCTTCCCTTGGACAGGAAGTTGAGATTTGGACAACTGAAGCAACATTATGACTCACGCCCCCATGCTTGGAGCTTTATCAAGCATGTTCACTTCTGCCGGAACATCAGTAAAACCGTAGGCTATCATCTTTTATCCTCTTCGCTTGAACCTATCAGCCTTTAGTGTTTTTCTCTCACAACAAAATAGTATCAGCCGGCTTATTAGCCACAAAAACCATCAGCCGAACAACCAACCAATACCTATCCTTTTTTTCATTTTTCATGCCCCCGTGTACGCTTCAATCTCCTTATCTCTTTGCACTACCAACCAATACCTGTACGGTATGGTATGGTATGGCGCATTGCAGATTGCCAATTGCCTTTTGCTCTTTACACACACACATACAATGACATAAAGGAGAGGTGCGGCAGAGGAAAAGGACAAGCGAAGGCAGAGGTAGCAAAGCATCCCTCATTTCACTGAAAAGAAAGGTCACCTTGCAATGATTTCAATCCCAAGGACAGGAAGAGGCGAAGAGCATGCCCATCTGCCCATCCCTTCAGATCAAACAAGGAATAGAGGTTGATGGCATCCTGGATGATCACCAGGCTGATAGCAATCTCTCTGCCCTAGACATCACATAAACCTTCATTCTCCCTTCCTTAAACACCACTCTACATGCGCCCATCTACTTCTAAACAACAAGTCCCATCACATGACACAGGAAAGCACGGTTGACCCTCTAATAATTGCTTATATGAAAGAGAAGCTATTGGAATCTCTACCTTTTTTTTCTTGGAACTATTTTTAGATGCTTACTAAGAGCTTTTACAAGTATATGTGTGTGCGAGCATTTGCATGATAGTAATCTTTGTTTTGTACTAACTGCCAAGTGAAGTGATACAAACAAGACATGGTAGTAACCCAGAGCCCAGGCTACTGCTATTCTGCTACATTAGCCAGAAGGAACATGATGGTAGTACTCCTATTGTCCCTCTTGTTCTTGTGACCGGGATTGCGTTGCTTTTAGCTGGTTCTTGATTCTCCATCCACACTGCAAGAAGACCAAAATTCCCTTGTCCACTTCCCCCTCCACTTCAGGTCAGGTGAGAGCTGAGAGGCACTTCCTCCCTGTCATTATCCTCCCTCCCTCCCCACTCCCCCAGTCTCTCCTACTAACTAAAGACACTTTGCCCCGGTTGTTTATCACTCACACCAGAATTCTCACTTCCCGAGCTAATTGTCCAACTGCCCATGCTTTGGAGAATTCTTTTGTTGCAAGAATCCCCAATCAACTGAAAGGTGCTGTTGTGAGTCGTGACCTGTCATAGTCTCACTCCACTGCAACACACCCACACTCCAATAAAGCTGATGTCTTTCTTGAGTGGGATCAATAATAATCTGTAAACTTTGGACTAGATTAGCCTAGGCACCTTAAGTTAACAAACACACCGTCACTGTTTTTCATAGCCTGGTTTCGTTCTTCACAGGCCCCAAGAACATAAAAGGGAGGAAGAGAGAGAGAGAGGGGAGAGGGAGGAGGATTTTCTTGCCTCCTTTGCTGTAGTAATTTTCTATTCCAAGCAGGCTCAGGTGGCAGGCATGTTTGTCCCCCCCACCCACCTCGCAGCCTCGCCCCATCCTTTTGTGCTTCTGCTTGCTTGCGGCCATAGCACAGGCATCTTCTTTTGTGTCATTTGCATGCTATACTGACAGCTTCTCAAAGCAGAGGCATCCCGCACCCCGCACCCCTTCCAGGCTTCCACTGCCACTGACAATTTGGTTCTGTGGGAAGAGAAAGGCTGCATGATTCTTCCTCGCCTCGGCCTCACCCTTGCTTCCATGTTTGAACACGGAGCAAGCTCCTGAACTCGTTGCCGAGGAGGCCACGCTCTTGCGCTGCCTTGGCAATGGGGGTGGTTCTTGCTGCTTCCTCCCTGGTCCTGGTGCTGCTCCTGCTCTTCTGCTCTTGCGGGCCAGCAAGCGGCCTCCTCTCCCCCAAGGGTGTAAACTATGAAGGTCAATGTCAAGAGATATCTGGTGCTGCTCCTGTTCGGCTGATCCACTCTCCCTTCAGCTGAATCATCCGAAATCAGCTGAAACTGGATCAGCCGAACAGGCCCAAATCAAACAACTCTCTAATTGGTTCTTCAATTTTTTTTTTCCGTTTTGCTACATTGTTGTAGTGACAGTCTCTCTTTTGTTTGCAGTTCAAGCTCTCATGATGATCAAGAACTACCTCAAGGATCCTCATGGTGTGCTAAAGAACTGGGACCAAGACTCTGTGGATCCTTGCAGCTGGACCATGGTCACTTGCTCTCCAGAGAATCTTGTCACCGGCTTGTAAGCAAGTCACCTACCACTTTTTGTGTGTGCGCGCTTCAGCTCAATCAATGTTTCCTCTGCATCTTATCGTTTCTCTGGCTATTTCCATTTGGCAGAGAAGCACCAAGCCAGAACCTTTCTGGCATTCTCTCCCCAAGTATAGGGAATTTGATCAACCTTGAGACAGTGTAAGCTTTGCTGCCATGGTTAGCTTAGCCAAATTTCTACATTTACTATGTTTCTTGGGGCAAGAAGAGATCTCATTTTGGTTCTCTATGTGTTCTTTATAGTCTTCTGCAGAACAACAACATAAACGGGTTAATCCCAGCAGAGATTGGCAAGCTAAGAAAGCTAAAAACGCTTGACCTGTCCAGCAACCACCTCTCTGGTGAAATCCCAAGCTCTGTGGGCCACCTTGAAAGCCTTCAGTATCTGTGAGTGCAATTCTGCTCCACTGTACTAGCTTTGAACAGTTGGACTTCTGTTCCACCGTACTTGTCTTGAATGCTATTGAGGTTTTCTATTCATGTCCTGTTGTTCCTCAGGAGACACGAAGTGTCTATTCTTACTTTTAATTACTCCAACATTGTGCTCTTACTAGGAGGCTTAACAACAACACATTGTCTGGTGCCTTCCCTTCATCATCAGCTAATTTATCACACCTTATTTTCCTGTGAGTACTCATTGCTTGTTTTGCTGTTCCGTGATATGTGTCCTGTGTTGGCTATGTGGTGATCATTGATCACTGTTAACTTGCATTCTTTCAGGGATCTGTCCTACAATAATTTGAGTGGTCCAATCCCAGGGTCCCTGACAAGGACTTTCAAGTAAGGCTATAGCCTTCTGTTATTTATCTTGACCAAAATTTCCAC